GGACTACATATATGCATATATGCATCCGAAGAAGTGGGCTGTAGTCCACGAAAGCTTATGCTCTAATAAATTTGTTAGTCTCTAAGGTGCCACAAGTACTCCTGTTCTTCTTTTAACACTAATTGAGATTAAAAAAATCCTCAAACCCTCTCTAAATTGGAATTTTCATATGAGGTTGCAGAAACAGACAGGTGAAGGGCCCTTTGGAGTGTCTAGGAGGGGACCAGTACCCCATTGTGCTATGCTCTGTTCATACAGAACAAAAAGACAGACCCTGTCCCAAAGCACTTAAAGTCTAAGACAAGAGAAAACAGATGGATACTGACTGACGGTGGAGTACAAAGAAACAATGAGACAATAGTATTTAAATAGACCAGGCAGACATAGGATGGAAGAAGGGTATAACACACAAGCAGAGTGAGCAATGTGATGGCAGCAAAAATCATGTCACTTCCATGATTTTTTAGGGGGATGGGGTGATTTTACTTAGGAAGGCATCAGCTGAAAGGAAAGGGAGGGAAAGATGTGGAGTGAAGCTGAGGTGAACAGACCCCAGGGGAGGGTTGGAGCAAACAGCCAATCAGCACTGGACAGAGAAAGTCAGAACATTCTGCAGTTTTGACTGGAATGTCCAGGGGACCAAAAGTCTCTGCTTTGGTTGACTCCTCTTTGCAGCTCACATGGTGCTGGGGAAGGGAGGAACTGCTTGGGTCCTAGTGCCCCCACAGTGGAAAGGAAGGTCTACCTGCACACTTCTGAATCCAGGAGGGTGTTTTGGGGGTGGATGGCACCGGCTGGGCCCATTTTACCCTTTCCTCACAGAGCAGCAATCCCGGCTTTGGCTGCTTCTAGTCCCATCAGGTAGAGACTATGGCTGGCTCCTTTGTAGGAGTAGCTTTGTGGTGCCCTGGAGCAAGCTGTTCATACGATTTATCCATTTTAGTTATTTTTGTTTGGGAGACATTTCTATATCCATAATGCAAAGCCTCACATTTTTAGCCCAATTTAGATTCTAAAGGTAACATAATAAATATAGGCAAAGCCAGTAGCACCACCTATAGTTAGGGTTGGTTAAGAGTGCATTTTCAATTAATAACTTTGCCGAACTTTAACTGTTTGAATCAAACTTTTCCATGCTGGTATCTGGCTTAGGCTAAGGGTTTTTTTTGTTTTGTTTTGTTTTGTTTTTTTGTTTCAGTCAAAACCAGTCAGCCCCTTCCCTAGAAAGAAGGTTAAAAAAATCTTGGTAATAAAAAAAAATTCTTATTGCTGTTTTATTGAGAAGCTCAAGCCCCTGAATGCTATAGAACAGGAATTTTAAATTTGACAGAGGGGGGTCACCCTGGTATCAGAGGTGTGCCTTCTGTCATCCCTATATAATCTGCCAAAACTTGGTCAAGTTATAAGCCTCTGGGAAAAAAAGCAGTTTGCACACACTGGGGGCATGTCCACACTAGAAACGCTACAGTGGCACAGATGCAGTGCGGCAGCTGTGTCACTGTAGTGTAGACACGTACTATAGAGACAGAAGGGTGTCTTCCATTGCTATAGCAAATCCACCTGTCCAAGAGGCAGTAGGTCAACAGAATAATTCTTCCATAAATCTAGCAGTGTCTACACTGGGGATTAAGTTGGTTTAACTACGTTGCACAGAACAAATTTTTTCACAGTCCTGAGTAATGTAGTTAAGTCAACCTAACTTTGTAATGTAGACCAGGCCTCAGGGGTTTATTAGAGTTTGGGAGCATTATTTGCCAAAGATTCTATCTACACTGAGCATGCTTTATCCCCACAAAGCTCCTAATGTGCCACACATGTGGTAGTCCCACACAGCAACTGAGCATGTTGTATCCTATGGGTTACTGGGGCTGACCAGGACTTTTTCTGCAATTGGTCCTTGCAGGCTGGGGGTGGGGGCTATTGTGGTGCCAGACAAGTAGTAAAGACCTCTATACTTTTCATCACTATATACATTTTGACAGGTTTCCATGTTCGCTTTTTGGGTTATGTCTCACCCTCTGGTCTCATTTTTGGACATGTACACATTTGATGCAGTGGCCATTTTGAAGCTTTTTTATAGAGAACATTAGAACTGCTTGAATGTGGGTTTTTTCACATTTAGAGATATTTTAAAGGTTAGAAGAAACATGGGCCAGGCAAGCTTTTTTTGACTCCTATGGATTCCTAAAACTACCATTACTTTTTTTAGAATCATAACTCTGATAATATTGTGTTTCACCAGAAACACCTACAAGACCTCCTCATGGTAACTGGTGGTTGTCATTGTGTATATATATATATATTTATTTAAAGAAATATATAAGGGGTTATCTGTTGATCAGATTTTAAAATTTTATACAGATGACTTAGCAGAAAATGACCACAGGATGGTGCAGTTTGTAAAAGGGAAAAAAAAATCAGGCATGTCCAGAGGTGTCCCAACCACGTTTCAACAT